TGACTTGATCTTTCTCTGAGTGTTTACCTCTTGATGATGCTGCCATGGAAACGCAGCAATTTTTGGATGTGTATACAAAGGAAAATGAGGAATAAAAGACAGACTATGATCAAAATCACACACTCTCAAACAGGTTTGTCAAGCAGACATAAATATTAGAGCTTCATTTGTTACAGTGTGAAAGCAATATCAGTCTGTTGATTTGCTTTTTGGGGACCTTCTGACTAATCGTTTTTCATCCAAAAATAATAAACTTGACTTGATCTGAAAATGTCAGCCAGTTCACTTGACACGCAAACTCCGAGTCAGAGTTAAAGACAACTGATTATTTTGGCTGAAGTTTAGGTTGATGTCATTTGAAAGTGAACAATCTTGTATTAAAGTCAAAAGATATTCAAAAGTTGTGTAACTGAATGTGAGATTCTGTTATTTAATCCATCAATCCACTGCCAAAGGGGAAAAACACAAAGAAACATTTAAATAGTGGCATATGGTGAAATACAACACGAGTAGGGAAAAAAAAAGATTAAAAAGATCAAATAAAAATAAAATTAAATAAAATAATGCTAACAAAACTAACACAGAATACTTTAAACTTAAAGTTTACTTAAAGTAAATGACACTAGAATGACCCTGCTGCAAAGTTAACCTTTATTTCTACTACATATATTAATTTATATTTGCAGAGATCTTGTGATCATGCTCCTCCATGACAAAATTGTAAAAGGAGACATTGAAACCATCAACTCCATTTGTTAAAAAAATCAACTGGCCACTTTATTTTTTCAATGAGAAATTAAAGTTCAGTGCATAGTCAAACTCACCGGGAAAGGAATGTGAATGATTTGTTAGTGTGACTGTGTCAGTAGATTGATTTATAACTGTTGTTAAGGTGATGTAAAACTGAGCTTTGGATCTTGTGATCAAAGGAAAGAACAAGTGGAGCAGGAGGAAAGGGATTCCCTAGAGACAACAAATGAAGTGCCCAGAGAATGATTATCAGCCAGTACTTCTGCATGCATAGACATATGTTTCTGTAGATCCCCAGAAGATATAAAATGGTTCTATGATTTTTTTCATAGGTAGCATTCTTGGACTGCATCCAAAATTGCATACTACTATATAGTAGGCAAAAAATAGTATGTGAAAAGAGTAGTATGCCGAATTCATAATATTTATAATATTATAATATTTATAAAACAGTACCTGGATGGCTTACTACTTCTAGCGACACAAGACAAAAAGAATATTACAGGACTACATTCATACTGTGTGCACAGATCGATAGAATGTACTTTTTAACAGTCACAAAATAATTAGTTATTTAAAACAAGTACCTACTCAGAGAGTATGCAAAATCAGATGCAGTCATTCTGAAAAGAGTAGTAGGCCTATGTCCAGATTCACAATATTCATTATTTGTAAGCAGTAGACAAAAAGTACTATTCTGAAGTGAGCATCTAATGGACACTTTACTATCACATGAGGCTACGGGAGAGGATTTGTGAATGACAGTGATGCAATGTAACTGTAGCTGGTAGGTCACATGACAATAAACCATGTCAGAATATATTTAATTTTTGACAGGAATGAAAACGAGGCTGTAGCGCGTTTAATAGATTGAACTGTTGTACAACAAAAACTGTGCAGCTGAAGAAAAAAAACTTTCAGCAGACAAAACCTCCATAAAACAATTTTGAAAGTTGTAGGCCTATGCCATTGTAAAGACTGCTAGTCTGTCCCTCACATTCTCGTTTTTAAAGGGATAGTTCATCCAAAAATGAAAATTTGATGTTTATCTGCTTACCCCCAGGGCATCCAAGATGTAGGTGACTTTGTAGGTGACTGAAAAAAAACAAAACACCATTTTTTTTTTTTAATTAAAAAAAACCCAAGGGGAAACTGAAGGCGGCCCATTCAAACCTTAAAATATCATCTTCTTGTGATGTTGGGTGCCAGAATCGACATAATACAGCCTCAAATTAGAAATTTGATCGCACATCTGTTGCCACTGCCAGACAAAAAACCGACGACAGCTGTGGTTAAACGCAATAAAACGAGCAGACTGGACAGAAATGATCGTCAAAAATGCTCGCGTTTGCCGCGCACACTTCTTATCAGAAAAGGTTCAATAAAGTATTGTCTTTTGTTGTTATGGGCGCATCTACAGATTTCTTGCCATATGTCTATGTTTCTTGCATCTCACGACTATGTCGTGTATGAAATACTGTCTGTGTGCATGTGTGTAAAACAACAAACTGACGATTTATATATAATCATTTGTAATTGTATATACATTGTTGTGATTAATTGTGGCTGGAACAATAATGTAGCTGTAAAAATAGTTGCCTGCTGAAATTGAAATGTATATACATCTTCATCATGACTAGATAGACATGGTGAGTTTGTCTTTACTATACACGTTAGATGTGATCCACCTCATAGTAACAATCCTGTCAGATCGTCCATCCTTTGAGTGAGAGTTTAACGTTACTGGTCGGCCGATCTGCTTTCGTGGTTAAAGTTAACCTTTTCGACATGTTTCGCAATGTTGTCTGGGGTTTGGCAAAAGGAGAGTGGGACTGTGGGCGGTGCTCGGGGTGGTGACTGAAGGCGGTGACTGTGTAGTTCTGACGTCAACTTTTTACGGAAGTCACAACGGTTCGTGAAAAAATCACAGCTACTTTAAGCAGGCTGTGTGCATTTTACTGTGGACTGACTGTTTTGAAAAGTATATGGTAGTTACATAGCACCTAGACCTCAGTTATCATGAAAAAAGCCAGGAAATTTCAGTTTTGACAATATGGGACCTTTAAAATAAGTTAAACAACAACAACAAAAAACACATACATGCTTTTCTTGAGTTTTTCAAAGCAAAAACGCGTTCTGTGTGAATGGCCCTGTAGAGAGTAGGTATGCGATTTCGGACGCATCCTTCGTGTGAACTGGCCTAGTCAGAAATATGATGGGGGTCTGCGTCTACTAATAGCAACACAACCAGTGCTGACAGCGTCATTGATTATATGTTTTACAGTACAATAAAACCTCAGTACCCACCACTGGGTACTGGTCTGGTGTTCTGATGACCTTTTGCTCAGTGCAGGTGTTAATCTTCATTCATCCCTCAGCAAGCACACTGGAAAAGCCCTTTCAGACCATTCATGGTACTTAAGACAATAGCCATTTGTATGGATGTCAACTTGGGGAAAGAAAAAGTGGAATCATAATAGGCTGAGTGTAACCAGATACTGAATAGGCCTGTATTTGAAAAAAAAAAAATATATATATACTTGCACACACAGCAGTTTTGTCACGTGGTCCGTGGTTACACCCAAACACAATAACAAATGGTGCTTTGTCAGATGGGTGGAGCGCTGCGTTTTTTGTCTCATGTCTAACAGTCATAATGTGCACAGGCGGATAGATGATTATGTAACACTGTATAATATCAGTGTCCTTGTGCTGCTGGAGTAATTACTGAAACCTTCTGACACTGTTTGGTTATTGCACAAGATGTGATCATACCAAAGCATATTATATGAATATTATATATAATATAAGTGTATATTGAAATATGACACCATTATGACTCCATTTATGTGATTTCCAGAGTGTGGCAGGGTTAGTTGGCTCAGAGCAACCATCTGGATGCAGGAACTCTGGGTCCTTGCTTTCTCTGCTGCATGTTTACATCTCTTCTGGTGAGTTATGACAGGTTTTCCATGCAGAGGCTAGGTGAGTCTGTATTTTGGCGGGTTTGTTCCTAGCTGGAATGAAAAAAACAAACAAAAAAAATGGGAAATAACTGCAATGCAAGAAGGAGTAACCACCAAGAACTCCAGAAACATATTGCATCATGTCTCCGGTATTCTAGGAGATGAAAAACCTGCGAGTGATTTTCCTTTGATTGTTGGAGATTATGATACAGGTAGCAAAAAAAAAAAAAACAAGGTAAAATGGAAACATTGTGAATGTAATTCACATAAATTTAAAGTTCTCATATAACATTATGATGTAATTGACAGCAGATAAAGAGATTTATTATTTTAGATTTATTATTTTTAGCTTAGGTATCATCTATTTTTGAAAATAACCATTACAACGCCAAACTCTGGAAAAACACATAAGAGATCCCTTAGACATGTGGATTGTGACCGGATGCCAAATAAAACATCAGTGAGTTTTACTTAATGATAAGGAACTGCTGTACTCACAGATAAGAAACCTTGCTTTTTCTCTCTTGATTTGAATCCAGCTGATGCCAGAGTGAGACTAATTATAGCAGGCAAGCCAAATGATGACAAACCTTTCTAACAATGCCAGAATATGTGATTGGATGCCAGTTTTTGAGCAGTCATGCCATACATATTTTTTTATTTTAATTGATGGGAAAGTATTCAGTCTTCTTGTACAAAAGATGGGAATAATGAATTAGAATGTAAGAGATATAAAGCGCAATAAAATGTATGGTGTGGCGTGTAGGAGGAAAGTGCTTTCTAGGTATTTGTAATTTTAGAAGTTATAGGCTTTTTAATGTGTCAAAATAAGGGGTTATTGCTAAAACACCTCATCTGAAATATATTTAGAATGGGAGGGTCAGTTATTACCACCTATTATTATGTGGAAAGCCCACCACAGCAGCATGACCACAAACACACACATTTCAATCAGAAAGAAAGAATTCAACCATTCTTGATAACGTGCTGGAAACATAAAATGTATTAAGATGGTGACTGTAATGCTTCCCTGACTTTAATTCTTGTTTTTTTTGTATTGTTAATACACTGTGTACATAATAAAATGTACTCTTAGTTTTTTTCTAGAAATGTAGCAGCAGTGTGGGTCTTCAAAGTTCACAAAAGTGATTAGTAGGAACGCTGATCAATATAATTAATATAAAATATAATTAATACTATAATATATAACAAACACTTATTTTAGATTATATACCTTATTATGCATCAATGGGAAATAAAAAGGTTTTCTCTATTTTATCCATAGCACCTTTATTCAAATTTTAACTGTTCCTGAGCAAATAAAAATATATATATTTTTCAGTCTGCCCTAATATGGGCAATACTTTCATGCCAACCTTTGTTCAAAAAGAGGGTAATACAAAAATGTAAGAGTACAAATCTCAGCAAGTTATATAAACAACAGCAAATATCACTCACAATTTGTTACATCATTGCAAATGCCATCTTCCCAGACATTACGAAGTCATTTGACATTGCGCTTTGATAATTAACTAGCCACCAATTTGTGTTTCTTTGAAGTTACTGTAAGATAAATATTCCAGGTGGAATGGAATGTGAAATAATTACTATCACACAACACATGAAAATAAAACATTGTTAATAAACTCAAATACACATGCTGGATTTTCCTCATATACAGACTGTTTTTTTTAACGTGCTTGATATCGAATATGTAGAAATATTAGTGTTACTCAAAGTACTATATTCCTTCCCTCAGAAGCAGTTGCTATATGATTTAGATTTGGTTGCCATATTGAGCAATGGTTCACCTCTGTGATTGGCTTAGAGATATAGGGACAGAACACGTGGAATGTGATGGCCGGTGGAAATGTCCTCTTGGGAGTTTCCCCCTGTTACCACTTTCCAGGGATTGGAACTCCACATTCATACCAGCCAACGAAAGGATGTGGTGTGCGCCTGCCGATGGCCCCGAAATTCACTGGCTCTTGTCTGTATGACCGATAATATCCTGAAATCCACAAACGGCATCATGTTACAGTGCTGGCTGATCACCCTCTTAGGCAGCAGTAAGTAAACACGCACATGGCATGATGATTTGAGGCTTGAAGTGAAGACAAACTACAGAGCATGCTCATATATGTCGTACCTTGAGCTGTGGGTAGGTTCAGGGAGAGATTGTGTGGTCCTGTCCTTCCATCTAGATAGGAGTCCACAAACTGGCAGTGGTCCTCTCCATGGCCAAATGCATCAGCAATGCTGTAGAATGTTTCTGAAATGGAAAACAGTCATAGCTTGAGTATCCATCAGGACCCAAACCTCAGACAGCGCCTTTTGTATAGCTGAGGGAAACTGTGGTTTGGATCGGATAGTTCCAAGGCTTTTAGGCCAGCACTCCAAAAACAGGGCGCTTCATATTACAGACACACTAATCATTAGATGAAAGTTTTAAATGTATTATGTTGTTAAAAAGAAAGGTCAGCACCTCTCAGTCCATCTCCCATGAAGATCTTATAGCGCAGCGAGTTGCAGAGGACGACACCAACAAACTTCCTATACCAGGTGCGCTTGACAAACTGACTTCCTTTACAAGAACAGTGGGCGGGGTTATAACTGAATGAGAATGGGATCCAGATGGGCTCGCCACCTAGAAAGGAAATGAATGTCAATTACAAATATTTTTAATGTTAGAGCATGACTGTTGGAAAATATCATTAACAATGATCCTTCTGACAAGACTGGTTTAGACCAGCTGTTTTTTTTTTTTTGCTTGTTAGTGCAAACAAACCCATGCTGTAACTCTTACCTGGGGGTCTCTCTATGAGCAGGGGGTCATCTAGATGAAAGAAAACAGAAATTTTAGGGTATTTATAAACATTGTTTGAATCCAAAAACCTTTATGTGGGTTCAGACAAAAGGCTCACCTGACTCTGTAACATACGTTAAAGTTTCACTGAGTGGCCCCAGTTCAAAGATATTCTTGGCTTGAACTTTGAAGTAATACCTGAGAACAAGAATGAAAGCATGTATGTATTAAATCGGTCATATTTAAATCATGGTTTGCTATCATGAAGTGACTATTTTTACAAAAGCACCTCATCTACATATAAAACTCAACTGTGAACACTTACTCATAAGTTAATGTTACAATGAGAGCATAAGGATCGAATGACACAGATACGTATATAGGATTGAGGAAAGGAAAGAGATGAGAAAAAGGCAAAAAAAGTGGAAAGAAAGGGAAAGAAAATAAAAAGAAATGAAAAGAAAATAAAAGAAAAAAAGTATAGGAAATAAAATCACTGTAAAAAAAAATATTAACGGAAAAATGTACTGGTAATTTTCTGCCAGGCATTATCCAGTAATTTTATGGATAAATGTTAACAGTTAATGGTTAACAGTAATATTTCTGTTAAAATTAAAATAGGATAGGAAAAAATGAAAAGGAAAAAATGAATGTAGAAATAAAAGGGAATAATGTGTGTTTAAAATAATAGAAATAAAAGGGAAAATAAGAAAATGAAATAAAAAAATAGAAAATGAAAAGAGAACAGAAATGAAAATATATCATTGAAAAATAAAAGAATACAAGAGGGAAAAAAGTTGGAAAATGAAAAGAAAAAGGGTAGAAAAAGAAAAAAGGAAAGGGCACAATTAAATTGTGTATTAATAAAACATGCATGAGAGAAAGTTAGAAGAGTGAGCCTCTGGCAAAAGAGAAGGCTAACAAAGTGTAATGACAAGAAGAGACTGCATGTTAGAGGGTGAGCAAGAGAATAACACATCAACATGGAATTTCCAATCAGACAAAACGTCTTTGTGACAAATACCAGACCACAACCACTTATTCTGCCCTGACTCTGGCACATCCTTTACCTTAGAGTATAAATTAGACAAGTAAAAAAATCAAAACAGAGAAGTGTGATTAAGTTCAAAGGGCAACACTAACAGCACTCACAGCCTTCTGTTCTGCCAGTGAGAGGCTGTTCAGTAAGCTCACGCTTCACTTGGTTTAACTCAGGACCCGTTTAATGACATAAAATCAGCACTGCTGGATCAAATTAGCACAGCCATGTGGAAACTCTGACCAAAATAAAGAGAAAATGGACAATTACAGTCAGACCGCCAGAGGAAGACTGGGGAGGGGGCCTGTCATATTACTGTTTGTGTGTCCATGTGCAATTTTTCTTGTCCTTTTGACCATAAATTATTTAGTATATACTTCTGACCATAATTCTTTGTGGAATTGATGCAAGCTCCAGTCTTGATATGGCATCCAAGTGGTTTGTGTTACTTTGACTAAGAAGGAGCTGTCATTGTCCAAAGTCTAGACTATTTACCTATTTCTAAAAGCTATTATAAATCATTCATAAAACTTATCAACACTTCATGGCTGAATTATAAAGTTGTCAGTCAGTGAGCTCGGCTGAGAGGCTATAATAACAGAGGCTTCTAAATGAATCCCAGAGGACAATAAAAACAACTTCATCCTCACATTCCACACTTATGAACCAAACATCTCTAATGAGTGCATATGCATTCATATGTTTTCTCAAGGTATTGAGGGAGAGAGTGCATCTGCCTGTCTGGGAAAGTGTACAAAACAAATGTCAATCAAACCTGGGACGTTTCACACAGCTGCATGCATTTATGCATGCATGAGTAACCCGTGTGCAGGTCCAGACGAGATCTGTGTGTGTTTTTTGCATTTTAAAGCTTAAAATGTGCTGAGAGTGCTACACTTTGAAATTATAACTGAAAGAGCAAAAACATTTAATGAATAAAAATGAGTAAGGGATGTGCAGAACTTTCTGAATGATGGGAGTTCCAGTTCTGTGGGAAAGATCATGCCTGCTGTAATGCACCAATGCTTAGTGAAGAAAGCATTTAGATGGGTCTGGTAGGCAGAAATGTCTTCACATTTGTGGCAAATGTCCAGACAGGTCCATAAACACCTCCCTTATATACTTCTGCAAAAATGTGTTGGTAGAGGTTTACAGTGTTACAACATAAGCAGCATTCGAGAGACAGACACAGTACAGTTCAGTGAATATGGCTGAAATTGAGACTTGGCCAAAAGCCGGCAAGTTCTGATGAGTTTCCACAGCATAAAATAGCAGTTTCTCTAGCTCTTGTGAAAAGAGTGAAAAACTCTCTTTTGAATTTTTTTTTTTGGAGGGTGACAGGACAATAATTATTAACTATTTAGTAATTATTAGGGCTTTCGGTCTAAAATAATGAATGCCACTTAATATTTTTTTTTCTTTTATTTTTATTTTTGTAGTTAACACATGACATTCCTTTTAATGAAAGAAGATTAAATAATATGCAAATTGAAATGTATGCATCAGTGCTCTTTATTTGTTATTTAAACTATCATTCAAAAAAATGTGGGATCAGTAAGATTTTGTGATGTTTTTGAAAGCAGTCTCTTTTGCTAACCAAGGGTGCATTTAATTGAGTAAAAATAGTAATATTGTAAAATATTATTACAATTTAAAATAACTCCTGTAAATTTTCAGCAGTCATTACTTATTCTAAATCATTCTAATAAGCTGATTTAGAGCTTAAGAAGCATTTCTTATTATTATCAATGTTAAAAACAGTTGTGCCGCTTTTTTGTGGAAACGGGTTCTTTTTAGGATTCTTTACTGAATAGAAAGAACAAAACAAATCTTTTTAGAAAAAAGTGTAAAATATAAATATCTTCACTGTCAATTTTGCCCAATTAATACATCTTTAATGCATCTTTTTTTTTTTTTACATTTCACCATTCTTCAAAATAAATAAAGTAAGAAAGAAAGAAAGCTATCTAAATAAATGACGTTTAGCAAATGACGTTTGCTAAACATCTTGTCTGAGTTTGATTTATTAGTTCCAATCTGCTCTAAAGATTCCGATTAGTTAGAAATCACACAATACAGAATGAAACCAATATGGTGTCAAACTGAATATATGCGTTAACAAGTTAACTATGACAGCCGTACTAATTACATATTAGTCCCCAGCTCCCATGTGTTAACCTGTCATATATTTAACATATTCAACTACATCTTAGATCAGTTATGTTGTCAGAGATACTTTAAGACTTAGCAAAAGATGTTTGGGAAAATATGCATCATTATTTCAAGACAATGTTGCACAACAAGGGGAAGATAAATGACACACTCATATAAATTTATGTTCAATAAAGTATAATGATTATATAGCTTAGTATACCCGCAAGCCTCACAGACAGCTTCCCAGCATATTGTTGGAGTTCATGGATTAAGCATGATTTAGGAGGGCTCCCAAAAGATCTCCACTGAGAACTCAGACCTGCTTTGTATTCAGTTTCATAAAACATTGTGGACTATAGAACATAGATGCTTAAATGTGCAAGCACAAACATGCAAAAGCTTGTAATTAGTTTATAAATTGATGGGATATGTTTGTGTCTGTGCATGAATCCTGTCACATGCTGGATCACACCTGGAATTGGGCTTGAGATTTTCAACAGGAAGGTGGGTTCCACTTGAGGATCTGGTTGACCATCTGTTATTTAGGACATCGTCATAGGATGCACTGTGTACCATATAGCCTATAAAAAAGAGGGCGAACAATTAAACCATACTCTTACATGAGAGATTTAAACACATTGAAGTAAATGAGCAAGTATTGGTCATGTCTGCAAAGGGATTCCTCAATATAATCCTAGGTCCTTATTATGCCATGGAAGGACTAAACTGCTGCCAAGAGAGCAGGATGTATATAAAGCACATGCGTGCATTTTCCATCATTTAATATGAAAGAGAGAGGCAGTGCAGGAGTGGAGCTTTATGAAAGAAGGGAGGATGACTGAAAAGGGGTGAAGTAGAGTGGAGAAAATAATATATACATTTTTATTAAAGGAGATTATTAAAGGAACAAGGTTCTGCAAGCAATTTCAGTTGTTAATAGCCATCAGTTGCTAACTTCACATACAATACTATTCAAAAGTTTGGGGTCTGTGAGTTATTTCAATGTCCTTACAAAAAAAAAAATAATAATAATAATAATTAAAAAAAATATTACAACTGAAAAGACCTTTTTTCTGTTTTAATATATTATTTAATATATTATAAAATGTAATTCATTCCTGTGATGGCAAGGCTGAATTTTCAACAGCCATTACTCCAGTCTTCACATATATACAGTATATATGTACACACTAATAAATACATATATAGAATTTGTAAATGTATTAATGGTAAAAATACATCTAGTAAGGTCCAGTAATGCAAAATGCATTATGAAACCCCTACAGTAATATGAGATTGTCTTGTAAAATTTTATTCAAGAGCATGTGGACTCTATTTTTCATGTCAGTTTATTTTTCAGCTCTATCGGTTGTCAGTTGGCAGGGAATCCCCTGCATTTAAACCTCCGCACACATATCATGACACTAACAGTAGCTGTGGGAATTGCCTCCCTGTTTGTGTGAATCAGGATGAAACTGTCAGGGTCAATATGTTAGAGAAGTGTTATATATAGCTTTGTGTTTGGAAATGCACTTTAAATCGAAACCAGGCAGGATGTAAGATAGTTCAGCATACTACACGTTTACAAATTAGGGTACTTCAGAATGTGGTATTTTCAGCGCACAATCCTCCAACTTATTTACAAACCATACAAACAAAATTACGAATTACGAAACAAGCTAAAATATGGCATAATTAAAATTAAGCATCTCTATTGTTTTTACAGTAAACACAGCTTTCTATGAATGTGAGGTGTATTATGGAATGTGCCAATTCACAAATGTCAGTGCTGTATGCCTGCACAATTAAAGGGATAGATCTGTCGTGATTTACTCACCCTCATTTTGTTCTAAAGCTGTATGCATTTCTTTCTTCTGTGGAACACAAAACAAGATGCTTTGAAGAATGTTGGTAACTAAACAGTTTTAGTGACCACTGACTTCCTATATATACAAACTACTGAATAATTTCTCAAAATATCTTCTTTTATTTTCCACAGAAAGAAAAATTCATGAATGGTTTGGAATGACATGAGGGTGAGTAAATAAAAACTGAACTTTCATTGTTGGGTGAACTATCCCTTTAATGTCATGCTATTACCAAACAAGGAAAGCATGCAGTTAATTAGCTAATTGCATAGCTGTCTTTCTCAGTTTTCAAATTACAAAATTCATTTTGACATTTCTGATGCGTCTTTTTCTCTGTCAGTATTGTGTGCTATAAATCCTTTTCAGTGTTGCTATCAAACAGGCCCATGCATGATTAACTTGCTTTATGAGATATTGCTTACACATTGCAGATAGAGAAACAGAACGTTATAGGATGATCCATTAACTGGATTGGGTGCTTTTCACTCCTGATTGATGCATTCTAAGAAATCGCTGCACATTTGGTATGTTGAAAAAAGCATGGAAAATGAAACCACTCATCTTGAGCATAAATCATCACAAGTAACTCTGGGAGTAAAAATCAAGACTTTTTAAATTTAACGAAGTCAATTCTTCAACTGTGATCTTGACTTTAATCATAAGCCTAAACCCCAATGCAAAAGAAAGCTTAGATATATTTGTATATTACATCTAGCAAACATTGTGGTCAAACTTACAGAAGTCATTTTTTTCACAGTTCTGCAACTGCGAAAGCATTTTTAAATAATAAAAAAGGAACTGCTACACACACTCACCAGACACCATGTCATCTTTCAGTGGAAGTGCCCAGTCCAAAATCACAAAGGAGTGACAGCCCTCCATCGCAACTACAGTAACATTACGGGGCTTGTTTTTGGGTGGCTGCTTTTGATTGATTGATAGTTGATCCTTCTCCATCAAGTCTGCTAAAACATCCACTTGTAGGTATTCCAGAGCCTCGGTCAGGGAGCAGGGAGCTCCAGGGTCCTTGTGGATGTAGTTTACATACGGAGCTGAAAGCAGACAGTGAGGAAAAGAAGAGAAAGGGAAAAGATGTACATTTAAGAAATACAATGTAATTAAATGTTTTATTACAGTTTTATGAGCAAATTAACAATTTGAGCGATAATCTGAACTGAAAAAATAACATGAATTTCATAATGCCTTATAGTATTTGATGTGTCCCCCACTTTAATGGCAGCAACACTTGAGCTGATTGTATTTCACAAATTTGTGTGAAACCTGATGATTTGAACATCTGTAAAAAGTCACATGATCAAATAGAAATAGTGCAGAATCTTACATATTCTTTATTTCGCATCATAACAATTTTTTTTTAATTCAAAATCATAAAAAACCCTAAAAATGTAGGTTTTAGGTAAACATAAAACAAATGCAGTTTTAAAATTTTGAAGAAAAAAAAAGTGCTCTCAGACTTTGGACTGTATTATGTAATATATATATATATATATATATTATGTATACACTACCGTTCAAAAGTTTGGGGTCGGTAAGTTTTTTTTAAATATTTTCGAAAGAAGTCTCCTATGTTCACCAAGGCTGCATTTAGTTGATCAAAAACACAGTAAAAACAGTAATATCTTGAAATTTTGTGATATTAATTTCTATTTTAATATATTTTAAAAAATAACTTATTTCTGTGATGGCAAAGCTGAATTTTTAGCAGCCAATACTCTAGTCTTCAGTGTCACATGATCCTTCAGAAATAATTTTTCTTTCATGAATAATTTCTTATCAATGTTGAAAACAGTTGTGCTGTGTAATTTTTTTTTTTCGTGGAAAGCATGATACAGTAATTTTTTCATGATTCTTTGATGAATAAAAAGTTCAAAAGAAATGTATAACATTATAAATGGGTAACACTTTATTTTAAGGTGTCCTTGTTACACATTTTACATGTACTTACTATTGTAATAACAATTAATTATGCATAATTACATGCAAGTAACCCTAATCCTA